TTTTTTTTTTTTTTTTTTTTTTCTTCTTACTAGTAAGAATCACGTGGTGTTCACGTGTAAGAAATATTTATTAATATTTATAAATTAAAATTTCTCATTAAATAATAGATAAATATATTTGATAATATTTTTCATATTGGCATTAACTTATGGTGAATATTAGAATGATATATTGCCATGTAAAATAAAGATCAAATTTTCTATATTTGGTTGTATTGATGCGTTTTCATATCAAATTATTTTTCATATTATTGTGCATTTTCAGTTTAGACTGTATTGATGATGTTATTTGAATTGAAATTATTCTTACTCAAAATTAAGTATTATATTTGCCTAAATTGAATGTCATAAAAAATATGTTGTGGGTGTTTCAAAATAAAATGTTTACTCCTAAATTGTAAATTTTGTTAAATATTTTTTTTTATAAAAACACAAATAGGATGTTACCAAAAATACAGATTATTATGGTATATTCATGCGTTTTTACCAAATAAATCTTATCGGAATTATTCACCAAAAATCTAATCTCATTTGAAAACCGGGTTTTATGTGTAATAGATAAGTGTATTATTTTGAAAGTATAGTGAAAATCAGATTTTGCCCAAATTGTGTAGGAAATGAGATCGTTCACCATTGGAAAAGATGCACCGATAATTTTACCAAGAAAATTAACTTAAAATTTATTCACCAAATGATTGGAATGTGGTTAATTAAGAAAAAAAAGGATAAGGTAACATTCAATTTTAAAACATGCACCTGTTTTTTAAGATTTTTTTTCCTAAAAACAGTATATGAAATTGATTTGCTCATTTTTTTTTTCCTAATCTCATGTGTTTTTAAAACATTTCTTGTAATAGTAAGTCAAAACATTTAATTAAAAAGTCAAAGTTGCTATTTATGTATTTTTTCAACAACTTTTTTATATTAGTATAAATTTGTAAGAAAATGCCACGCAAAAACTTCGAAAGCATATTTCTCAATGAAAAAAGGGGGAAATTGAGGCAAAAATAACAATTAAAAATGGGGAGATGCAACGATCCCATTACGGAACCATTCTGTCGAGGTTTGTAACCGTTAGATCAACTATTTCCGATAGTTACATAATGATCTAACGATTACAAACCTTACGGAATGGTTATGTAACATGACGATAGCATTTTAAAAAAATAATAATACAGGACAAGACCATGGGTGTGGAAGGTTTTATTTTATGGGAAAAAAGATGTGCAATTTGTAATATTTAATTTTTTATGCTTTTGCCACATTTTTTTTTTTTCAATACGACATTTTCGAAAGTTTATGAATAGCAACTTCGTGTGGCTTTTGATCACATATATATTTGGTTTTTTATATGATTTTGTGATGCATTTGTGTTGAATGTTGCAAATTATAATTTTTTTAGAATGTTAGATTGCATTTACAAATAAAATACTTTAATTTGCAAAATCAAAAAACGTGAACAGTAGGACTTGTAAATTTTCGTTTTTTTTTTTCCTTGTATAATCAAAAATTGAATAAAGTTGTTAATACGTGGTCCAGTGACCCAATTATGTGCACTGTTAGGCCCAATTTCTTTAACTTGAGTTATGTTTAGTTGGCGGTCTTGCGGTTTTTGTCGTTGTATCAACCGAGGGGATTAATTTATCAAAGGATTCAAACTCTATACTAGGTATCGTGCACCTCTACGAGTGCGACTGATTTATTAGATTGCGACCTCGAACGGTTTGATCAAATCACGCACCATTCGAACTCGGAGGCTTGTATGTTGGCACCCGAACCGACAAGCGCATCCTCCACAAAACATGTGGCACAAACAAGGAAGAATTCTCCACCCGACCTGAAGATGTAAATAGTGGATATATTGTTAGATTCTGACACCAAACCAAATCACCCCCACATAATGTGCGATCGTCAAAGCTCATAGGCCGACTTGCATCCTTAGTATGTCGACCTCTTGCGGGAGCATTTATGGCTGACAACAAGCATATCCATCGTATGGTCGAGACATAATCATAAGGAGTGGGCCCCTTCCTGTAAAAAAAAAAAA